GTATATATCTCCTTTCTATTTTAAAAACACACACTTAAGTCAAAATTATTAATTTTATTATAATATTCTAAAAAGATACTCTTTAATTAAAATTTATATTAAAATACTTTTTATTTACCAGTTTACATTCCATATTATTAAATTCATAAATTTTGACTAAAAAGTTTTGAAGAATTTAAATTTTTTTCTTTTCCTTAATTTTATTTTTTATTTTTATCAATTGTTATTTGTTTAGTATTTTTACCATATTGGGATGAAAAATTAATTAATTTAATTAATATAGACATAAAAACCTTGCATAAAAATTTGATTAATTCTTTTAATAAATATATAATAGACTAAATATGTCATAAATATTTTTAACAAAATTTTTATTTAAAAATTTTAAATTATAAATTTAAATGATTTTTATAGTCTCTTAAACTTAGACAATTTATATTATATGATGAAAAAAATATTTATTTAATATATTTTCTATCCATTTAAAAGAACCTAGATAAATAAGTTTCATTATGTGTTATATCAAAAATTATTTTTTTGACAAATATAATTTTTAAATAACTTTTACACTAAGGAGGAGTATTTTGATCAAGTTAAAGTTTAAAAGTCAAACTTAACGGTTGCATAATAGTTGTATAAATAGAAATAAAATATCAAATATACAAAGAAAGTTTGTGTAATATGCATTTTAATTTTAAAAGAGGTTTATATACATTTTCAGATAGGAGATTTCTGTAATTTAGATAAAATAGAGGGGTAGTAAGAGTATTTTACTCTATCTATTTATATTATAATTGATGATTAACTGTGCAGATTGCAAAATACTAATTATAATTTCATTTGTCTGTGACGAAAGAAAAGTGGGAAAACAGATAATTAGCCACATCATTGACGGTTAATTGAAATTCTTTTTGAGAAATTAAATACAAAATTTTCTACTAGATTAAAATGATTTCTTTTTTGGAGAAATTAACTAATTAAAGTTCATACAGCATATAGGATCATATCTATTTCCACTTTAATACAAAAATGTTTTTTAATGAGTTGTTGTTTTTAGAGACAAAATAAATGATAATGAAATTAACAACTTTTCAATAAATTGATGTATTGTAAAAATGGTATGGTATTAAATTAAAACGAGCTTTCTGAGAAATTGAAATAGACGCACAGAGATATAATTAAACACGATCAACCTCCATAGAATTTTTTCCTTCTAATTTTAATAATGCGATTATTGTTGCTCATTTTTCATATATACTCTATATAATACAGAGGAACATATCTACTTTGATACTAAATTATTGTTTTCAGAGACAAAATAAATGACAATGAAATAACTTTTGAAAACAATCAATGTATAATGAAAAAAAAAAGATATTACTTTAAAAATAATTATTTTGATAAATTGATCTGCGTGTGTGTGTGTGTAAAAGTAAAACAATTTAAATTCCACGCATTGTGAAGCTCAAAGTAAAATAACTTTGCATACAAAAAGTTTCAACTTCCAATTCTTGATCTAGATACCAAAGACTATTGATTATCTTTTACTCAAGCCAATCACCATTAGCAACTGGACTTGGTATATGATCATTTATGAACTAATATTGGGCAAAGATCCCTTTCTTTTTTAAGTTTTTTTTGTGTCAAAAAAGGTAGGCATATGAAAGTTTTTTTTTTAGGGTTTAACGTGGCCTCAAAAGTATTAAAACAAAAACATTGTTGCCCTACTAGCCGTACCAATGCATGACACGTATAATAATTACACATGACCATGACTGTGCTTTTTTTGGTGGACACTGATTTTTTTTTTTTGACATTTCTTGATACTTTTTAAAAAAATTGAACCTTAAACCAATAAATTAAAAAAGGACACGGGCTTTTGTGATTTTGATCTTGCAGTAATGAAGACGAAAAGAAAAAAGGGCAAAAGAAAAGTAAAAAGGAGTTTGAATAAGAAAGGATTGTTGACTGCTTCCATTGGAAGATTCGCATTCCACACCACAAACGAGCAAAGACCGACTCGAAACTTGAAAGATACACAGCCGCGACGCGTATTACCACTTTCTTCTTCTTCTCACGCGTCTCCCCCCCAAACACACTCTTTTCAACCACGAGCTAGGAAATTAAATTACTTTGTCCCCATTTAATTCTTAATCCTTTTAATTAATTTTTTTCTTTTCTTAGAAATTTTTACGACCTTTTTATTTGAATGAAATTGAATAAAAAAGGCATTACCTTTTAATTCTTGATGACAAAAAATGACAATTCAAATTAAAAAATTTGTAAGATCTTTTTTTTCCCCATGTTATTTGAATATTCTAGCCAATATTTGTAATTAGATTTATATTTATTTTGCTACACAAAAATAATATTTCTTGATGCTTGGCTTTTTGTTATAAGTGAAAAATGTAAATTTTTTTTTGAAAAAAAAAACTTAAGCATATTTAAAAAAAATTGTATCTTTAAAATGGATAGTTTCAAAATATTGAATTTTATAGATAGATTTTTTTTTAATCGTTAGTAGTCATCTTAATTTTTGTTGTAGAAAGGGAGTATATTAGTTTATTATTATGAAAACAATTTTGTTGTAGAGTAATACATTAAATTAAATGAATTTTTAAATTTTTTATCAAAACAATTTTCTTCAACTTTCTTTTTGTATCAAATCACATGATATCCTAGATTTTGAAATTTAAATTAAATTTAAATTAATTCGAGTCGAGTCAAGTAGTATCACGCGGGCAACAAGTGGTTAACACATCTACATATTTAGGACTCAAACTTAAATCTACTGATTTAATTAGCACAACATTGTATTTTGATATAGGTCTCAAACTTTTAATTGTCTTATTATGTTCTTAGCAGCAAATTATGATAATGAACTAAATAATAATAAAAAGATTGCTAAAGATCTACTTATGACCGTTTCAAAGAATGATGTGTAGTTTAATTTTATTATAACAATATAAACATAAAATAATTTTCTACGACATATTGATATCGATTGGCTTTTATAAAAAAAAAAAAACTTGGATATGAAATCTTTTGAAACAAAATGCGGAACTACTAAGACCCTACTCATGTTGATGGTAGTGCGTATGAGCAATGTTTAACGTATAAATGATTATGAAATAATTCGGGCAAGAAAATTTTTATGAAATAATAAAATGAAAATAATACACTTAAAACTGTTATATATATATAACTTACTATTTGAGATAAAAACACATGTCGGAGGGAATTAAAAGAATAATACGAAAACTGTTTCAATTAAGTCACCGGTATATGACGTACGTGCCTTTTAAAATTCAAATCGGTATTATTTGCCGACAAAAAATTGTGAGGAAAAAAACATAATTTCAAGGACCATTTTTTTTTTTTTTGGTTTTCCCTTCTTGCCATGAAATAGGTAAAATAACATTAAATAATGGTACTTCGCTTTTTTTAATTTTCAGCTCTCACTTATCCTACACCTCTCAAGTTATTTTACACAAATTTTCATTTTTTATAATAATAGTTTTAGGTGATTTTTTTTTTTGCATTGCAAAATAGACATTTCAAGTTTTTCTATTTTTAATTGTAAGAAACATATAGAATTAGTTATGGATTTTAAAATTAGTCATTTCTTGCTTTTTATGTGCCATTTTCCTTTCAAGCTCTCGAGGTTGAACAAATTGAAATCCAAAAATAATAATTATATATTCAGCAAATATTACAAAATTTGGATTAATAAAACCCTCGTAAAAAAGGAATTGACATGATTTTATATGTTAAACCATTTCAAAGTCAGGCTGACAATAATTTGTAAGTAAGAAATAGTGAAATGGTAAATTAGATTAGTAAATTCACGGGTCAAACTGAATTAGTAGTTAGTAGAGATTTAATCCTGGTCAAAAAGTTAGTAGATGTTTGAGGACGAATCGATGTCATCGTAAACCAAAAACATAGAATCATAAATTTGATGAATCAACTAAGGAATTTGCCAATAATTGTCAATAAAAGCAAACTTACAGCCCCATTTCTTGGAATATGCTTATCTGACCCTATTTATAAGGTAGAGAGATAAGATTTTTTTTAATTTTATTTGTAGGGCAATGAGATAAATTTTGTATGAATGTACAATTTTATATTTTATTTATTATTGTGTTGATTTTGTTTATATAACATATAATGTATATTAAATAGAGATAAAATTAAAAAATTGTTGAGTTTTAAATGAGAATTAATAAAATTTAAAAAAAATTTTTAGTCTGTGTAAAATATATTAGAATTGACTTATAAATAAACCAGAAGAGTATATTCCATGGGAATATATACATTTCAAAAATTAATGTAATAAACAGTATGCAAATATACTGGTAAATTTTTTTTTTACCCAAAAAATATATATTGGTAAAATTTTTAAAAGGGTCCACCAAGTGGATTAAACCCTGCTTCTCTAGCCTTGTCCTTCAAGCAAGGACAGCGTGGTCTTTTGGTGGGATTGAAATTAGAGATTTAAATAATTTTTTTTACTCATAGTAATATTTATTTTATTACTTTTTTAAAAAACCATAAGCTCTCTCCACTTCACATCTCCCCACATACTCTCTCCTCTCAAATAAATGCCCCCTGTCTCCTAAACTCCAAACCTTCCCAGCTGTCTCTCTTTTTTATATACATTTTATTTAAAAGTGGTGTTCCTTCATTTTTTAAAATATTATTAGTAAATTAAGGTATGACCAGTTCAACATTTAAATCTCTTTCCCATCTATATATATATATATATATATATTACTTTTATGTGTTTAGGAGATTAGATTGAGATCAAGATTCAAGGCTCTCTTTCTCTCTCCTTCTTTCCCTGCGATTCTTTTCACATAATAAAGCCAGAAACATTATACCAAAAGTCGTCTTTTTAATTTGACTCATTAATTCTTTTTATTAAATAAAAATTCACAACACAGACCCGCTTTGAAGTTCTACATATAGCCCAGCTAAGATTGAGCTAGACTCAACACACTCCTCTTTCTCTCTCTATCTCTATCTCTCTGTCTCTCTGTCTCTCTCTATCTGTAACAGTAGTGTTGGTTGAAGTTTGAAGGAGGAATAATTGAGGGCATAATGGCAGAAATGCTGAGTGAAGAACAGATTGTCGAGTTCAAAGAAGCGTTTTGCTTGTTTGATAAAGATGGAGATGGTAAGAGAAAGGAAGATTGAAACAGAGCTTCCTTTTTTTTTGCCCCCTTTTCTCTGAGACGAAGTCTCTGTTTTTGTTGTTCTCTGTATCATTTTCTTCTGAGATTTCTGACACCAAAATAATGTTTGGAATCTGTGAACAGGTTGTATTACTGTGGAAGAACTGGCGACGGTGATTCGGTCGTTGGATCAGAATCCGACGGAGGAAGAGCTTCAAGATATGATCAGCGAGGTGGATGCAGACGGCAACGGAACCATAGAATTCGCAGAGTTCTTGAACCTCATGGCCAAGAAGATGAAGGTAATATATTTAAGACTCAAACAACACGTTTTTCTGACTGATGGAAAAAATAGAAATTTAAACTAAAAGAGGACTCTATATTTATATGTATAGGAAACTGATGCGGAAGAGGAACTGAAGGAGGCGTTCAAGGTGTTTGACAAAGATCAAAATGGCTATATCTCAGCGAGTGAGGTATGTAATATTTATTTCTTATTTATTTTTATTTTTTGGGCATAATTTCATTTCTTTAATGTCTACTTGTTAACAGATTTTCTTTTATATTTTACTTATTTTCTATTTATAAAGTACTTTTAATATGTTTTAACTAAAAAAATACTGTATTAACTCTCTATTAAAATATAATAACTTTTTAATTTTATTTTTATTTAGTATATATATGTTTAAAAAAACTACTTACTATAATAAATAAAAGACAATATAGTATATTTATAGTAAAAATTTAATAAAGTGATTTTAAATAAACAAAGAGAATATTTTTTCTCTAATTCTATAAATAAGACTAGAAGAGTAATTTCTTATTATTTGTGTTTACTACAACTCAGAGCCAGAGAGCCCTGTTTCATCTTCTCTGTTACTGATCTTTTCTTGCAAGTTATGGCATGAATTTTCTTTTCCTCTCTGGAGCAAATTAGAGAATATATAACAAAATGGGTTATGTGGGGTTCTCAAAACTATGTTGTTATGATAATATCTTCATTTATTTTTTCTGGGTTTTGAAATTTTTACCTTTTTCAATTATATATATATATATATATATGTATATTCGCAAAGCAATCTTCACCATATATGTATAGTCTGAATCCTCATATAGTATTTTTCACATAGTAAGGGTGGGGATGGTCAATAATTTATATGCGCATCTAGGACAGTACTTTGTACGTTTCCGCATGCAATGAATATTAGCTCTTTAAATAGAAAAGTCTGGTTGGCAAAAAAGAAAAATCAATAGAAAATTCTGAGGTTTGACATTTGAGAGCTCAAGAGAATCTGACTCCTCTCTCTCTCTCTCCCCCTCTCTCCCCACAGATAATTACAGATCTTTATCAGAATTTTTATTCAGGCCAGGCGTGTCTCTTAAATTTTAGGGAGATTCAGAGATCAATCTTACAAATGGCACGTTTTCATATAATTTTTTTTCTCATATTTTTATATTCACAAATAGAATGAAGTTCATATTGATATGGTAAGTTTATATTACTTCAAAACTTGTACAGCTCATAGCAGAAGAGAAATATTAATTGCATGATATTTTAAGTTTTACCAAACTTATGTATAATTTTTATTTTTTTATGTTTCAAATATTTAATCCATTAGTCTTTACATTTTATAACTTACTTGGCGGAAGGATTAGTCTAGCTTGATGAATTAAATTCCATGAATTCAGTTGTAACCCAGTCAAATTTTTTATGCTTTTAATGAAATTTTAAAAAACTGTGTTAATTAAAAAGTAGTATAAATTAATTAAAATATCTGTTAAACTCATTTTTTTTGAAAATATGATATATATATATATCTAAAATTTATAAGTTGTGTCCTTTTTTTTCGGTGCAGCTGAGGCATGTAATGATAAACTTAGGAGAGAAATTAACAGACGAGGAAGTGGATCAAATGATAAAAGAGGCTGATTTAGATGGTGATGGCCAAGTTAATTTCGATGAATTTGCCAAGATGATGACCACCATTGGTTGAATTTATTTCCTAAATTATATTTCTTATTATTCAATTATGCTTCATCATTTCCCTTTAAAATGTATTAATTATTATTGTTTTTTTAATTTCCCCTTTTTGTTGTTGTATTTTTATTACTCGTAGCCCTTATGTGAATGACCCAGCATTTAGTTGTCACTTCAAAATCATCATTTGACTGTTCAACTTCCAAGTTATTAATTAATTAGATCTTATTCTTTTTATAACAAATTGAATCTCATGTTTATCTCTATCCTGTACATTTTTTTCATTTATTTAATTTGTGACTTTTATTCTCAGTTCATTATAGTACATAATAAGAGAATGATAAGAAATAGGGATTTTTTTTTTCTGTGTTTAGTTTGATTATAGGTTTGGACTAAATCCAAACTAGATCAATCAAATAAATTATGTAAAATCTTGAGGCAAAAAAAAAATCTGTAAAATGAAGGGCCTATTCAAGTTCTGGTTTATAATTTTTGTCATTGTGCATATTTATATTTTCTTAATAATCTCATTAGACTTTAATCACGTTGTAGCTAAAATTCAAATGCTATTAAAAAATTTCGACCATATCACGTTATTTTTTACCTAAAACATTTTTATTACTATTATCATTTTGAAACGACTAAATCAATTCCGTCGGTTTTGATAGGAAAAATCCATTTTGATTTGACTTTGAGCATAAGTACAAAAATTCAACAATATAAATATTATATGGCAAAATAATTGACAACATAATACTCCTCCGGTCCTAATTATAAGACCCAATTGACTTATTTGAGGAGATTAAGGAAGTAAGTTAAGTTGGTTATTTATAATAAATAAGTGTTGTCATTCCTAAAATATCCTTGCTAATTAAGTATATTGACTAAAACTATCATTATTAGAAGGATTATCTTGGAAAAAATGCATAAATATAAGAGATAAAATGGATTGGGGTCTTATAATTAGGACCAAATAAAAAGTTAAATTGGGTCTTATAATAAGGACCGGAGGAGTAGTAATACATAATGTCCTCTATTTTTGCAGTTAAGAATGCCTAATGTTCAAACTCAATAATTAATACTACCTCCGGTCCTTAATATAAGACCCTGTTTGACTTTTATTTTGATCCAAAATAAGACCTCAATCCATTTTATCTTTCATATTTACTCAATTTTTTCCAAGATAGTCCTTCTAACAATTATAGTTCTAGTCAATACACTTGATTAGCAAGGATATTTTAGGAAAGACAACACATATTTAGGACAAATAACTAACTCAACTTACTTCCTTAATCTCCTCAAATTAGTCAACTGGCCCTTATAATTAGGACCGGAGGTAGTAGTTGGCAAAAAAAAAACAAACACTATTTTGTCCCGATCCAGTGCTTTATTAATTTTCATAATATGACAATGTTGAATAATTAACATGGAAAATTTGTCTGCCACCTCTTGGCTTTCTTACATCAGAAATGTCAAATTTCAATGAGTCTGTCATTTTCTTGACTGTTTTGCAATCCTCTGACTCTTTCTTTTTGAACCTCTCGTACGATTTATTTATTTGTTTGTTTATTAACAACCATGTACTTTATGCATATGTAACACCTGTCTATAAAAAAAAAAAAACCTGTGAATAAATTATTTAATTAAATATGCATTCTTACACGCTGAGTGGAAGGCAATATTTCGTATGAATTAAGTATATACTCCTCCGGTCCTTAATATAGGACCCAATTAGAAGGTTGATCTTGGTCCTAAATATAGAACCCCTTTCTCATATTTTTTCATTCTTTCCTAAATTACCCCTATTAGATAATTAAATACCACAATAATACTCATTATTCATTAATAATACACCTATATATTTTATAAAGTGAATGAATACTTATTACTTATTGATTCCACACAAACATCAATTCTACCATTTTATATTTTAATAAAATAATTTAAACATTTAAAAAAAATATTTTCATACAAATACCCATTCAAGGTAATTGGATTTTTTTACCTCCGAGGAATAGCATAATAATAATCATACTATCTATTTTCTTTGTGCCTAGAAAATATAATCTTCTATTTATATTTTACCCAATCAAACAGAAAACGTAACTACGTTGGTACCGGACGGTGCGTGAGCCAGGAGAACTTGGACGACGTTGGTACCGGAGGAGGCGAGTTAACCAGAATAATTTTTTTCAAATGTCAGTTTCTTTTTAGAAGTGTAAACCGAGGGTATTTTGGGATATCTATATTTATTACCTAACTTAACTACCATCCTTAATTTAATCAAAATAGTCAAAAGGGTCCTATATTAAGGACCGGAGGAGTATCTTTATTTTCTTTTCTTTTTTGGGACCATGATATATCTTTATTCTCGTCATATTTCAGTCTCCGATTTCATGTTCAAAAGGAGTGTCTGATTTTGACAACATGACTACTTTTTTTTGTGACGCATAAATATTCTCTAATAAGAAGTAATCTTATTTACCAACGGGGGTTGGTCCGAGTGATAAGCGACTCGGTTCCGCTTAAGTGAGGTCTCGAGTTCGATTCCTCATGAATGCAGAAAACCCACATTGGGAGACTCACCCACCATACCCAGGTGCACGACGCAGGTCTGATCGGGAAGTAGTCAAGGCAAAGCTCTGGTGAACCGGGTGGAAAACCGAAAAAAAAAAAAAAGAAGTAATCTTATTTGAGACAATATAACTACTTTGGAGACTGATATAATCACATTCACACTCTTGGCCCAGTAACATATGTGTTGGGCCTACTTCATTTTCATGTGATGGGCGCCTTTCCCTTTGATGGGCCTCCATAGTTTCGAAGTTGAACTGCCACCTTCTAAACATGTATTGGAAATAAGTCCAATTTAACTTGGGCCTGATTAACTGAGCCCAACTTCTCCTTCCAGACTAATCAATCAAGGGAAAGGAAGAGAAGCCGCGTCCCTCTTTTGCATATGGCCTCTTTCATCTAATTTAAATATTTCGCAAACATAATTCGCATGCATATGGAATAATTTTTAGAATTACTTGTTATTTCCTAGCTCACGAATAATTATCAAAGAGTTACTCGGAAACGTTCAATAAGACTACGTGAGATCATAAACATAAATATCTATTAATAAACTAATTAAAATTATTTTAGAATTATGTGTTTGGGTATTATAACTATTTTAGATTGAGATATTAATAAAAATAAAAGACATAAGCTAAGGGGCCCATTTGTTGATTTGGAAAGCTGAGGAGGCAACATGTGGACAACCAATCTGGGGATTTGGAGGGCTCTCTTCTTTCCCACTGGAAAAGAACGAAGGGACTCAGATGCCACGCGTCGAAAAGCTATTACTGACAAAAGTCAAAGAAGAGGCGGTGCAGGTGGGAGAGGAGCAAGGGGGATAAGAATTACGTGTTGGTTTCTTTTTATTAGGTTATTAAAAAATATATATCTCTTATTTTAATTATACTTTATATTTTTTTATGAGAATTAGATACAGATAATCTCTCGCTATCCCCAAAGTTTTTTTTATATGAATTTATATTTAATGATAATGTGTTAAAATAAAACAATAACCATGTGTAATTAGAGAAATTAACATAATAAATATAAAAAATTTGACCTAAACATTGTTTGAAAAAAACTTACTCCAGGTTATTCTAAAACTACTTTAGAATCTTAAATTTACTTTCTTTAAAAAATTAATATATTATATCTACAAACAAGCAAAAAGGTCTGGAAATTACGTGGGCAAATTCGAAAATGTGGATGGTAGGGTGTGATGATGGTGTGTTTAATGAGGAGTGAAACTGATAGCGGGAACACGTTGAGATTATGTGTTCTCTTGGCGGGTGAAAGGCGAAAAGCATATTAAAGGATGAAAGGTTTTATCACACAAAAGCAATAAAAAGTATCCTTCGTTTAGGATTTTTTTTTCTGGGGCCATATCGCTTATTTATCCTGGGTGTTATCTTGATATCTCTATAAATTAATATCAATTTTTTAAAATGTTAAATTTTTTAGTTATTATACAATAATATTTTTTATCATCTGCTGAATGATACAGTATGTATTGACACACAAATATGTAAAATAATTATTTCAGTCAAATATTCGTTTATAATTTTTTTTTGTACATCATTTACGTGTAACGTTAATTTTAAAATATAGGTCACAATTCATTCTCTAAATTAAATCCTAACCAATAAAATATTACATCAGACGACAATAATAATGGCACTTGGTCAAACTCCTCAGCGTCTTCCAAGCACATGGCCAAGAATATGAATCATCATTGAAGCAAATATACATCTCCGGTCTCCACCACTCAAAAAATACTTTTAATTCTAATATAGAGTCTAGATTAATTAATTTGTAAGAATTTAGTGTGGTTAACTTAAGTTAGTTATTTACAATAAATGTGTATTAATTATCTTAAAATACCTCTTTTAATTATTTTGCATTGAAAATTACCCCTTTAATAGAAAATTTTCTTAGTATGTACAGAGGTTTTGGGAAAAATTTATGCATCTTTGATAAAAAGTGAATTCAGGTGTTATATTTAGGATTGGAGATATAGTAAAAATAAAGCTCTATCTGAACAAAGTTGGCTTTTGATCATGAAACAAATATAATTTAATTACTCATTAACTTATCCAAAAATAAATATTTTTTTCAACTTTGCATGTACCTAAGAGTATAAAGATACTTCTTATGTGCAGAATACAAAATCTAATTTGCAGTATAAATTTTCACTGTAAAATAGACATTATATTTATGATCAAAGGTGGCATTAGATTTCAAGTCTCATCCTTATAAATTGTAACAGAGATAACATTTAAATAAAAAATCATCAATACAATCCAGTAATTGACTTATATTATCGACTAAGATTTTATTTTAGAAAGTGCCGCATATTTAGGACAAGAGAATACCATTATTAGAGCTCCCAACTGAAATTCCACAGTGACCCAGTGCCAGTATATTTAGTTTATTTCTTGTTTTTGGAAATTGCTCGATCCTTATTTTTTCATAAAAGGAAATTATTTAATTCTCTTTGGGTCACTGTTTTTTTTAATCTTTTGGTGGGTGGCTGAGTGAAGCATAGTTCGATTCGATTTCAACGTTATCATACATAATATATTACTCCCTCCGTTCCTTATATAAGAGACAAATAACCGAAGTACGTTGATCAAAAAAACAGTTAAAATTAGTTAAGAACAATTAATGTGTAAAAAGTATAA